GGGGCGGGGCCGCCCGAGCCCCGCGGAAAAACACCGCAATTACCACAGAAAAAACCGGCCTAAAAACATAATAAAAACCCAGAATCCCTCACCCACCTTAGCCCTGCAGCAGCTCTCGCTCCTGCGTGGAGCTTTTCCCCTCTCACAGCACAGGGAAATGGAGTAGCAGCGCTTGTGTCAGAGCTGGCTCTGAGAGGGAGAAACCACCCTCTCTCCCTCTCAACCAATTTTAGGTCGTTTATTTATTTTTAAAAATCTTAAATGCTCTGCTCGCTCTAGAAGTTAAGCACTGGTTTCCCTGCTGGAGGAATCAGCCCCAAAAATCCCTCAAAAGGGCAATTTTGGAGCCTGCCCCAGCATCCTAATGCCACCTCTGCCGTGATTGGGCACAGTTTCAAAATAAACCCGAAATTCTGTCTTCATTGGTCCCTCTGGGAGACCCCCCCCAATATAAATAGACAATAAAATACTTGAAAACGTTATAACAATTTTTTAAAATTTTTTATTTACTTAATTTTATTTTACTTAATTTTTATTTGCTTAATTTTCTTGGCATGAGCTGCCCAAAGAAGAGTGGACATTTGGCTGCAATTAATACCCCCCACCACCTCCGCACTCCCAGGAATAGCTGGTAATTGCTGGCTCTAAATGACAAAGCAATTAAGCCTCTTCCTAAATGTGCAGAAGTAGGTGTTTATCTAAATCTGGGCTGTCAGGCTTTGTTTCTGTGTCAGGGCCCAGAATCTCAACTGCTGCTTTCTCAAAGTGCATTTGATTCTTTACAGGCAGAGAAAAAAAAATATATATATTTTTTAAAATTAGTTTCAGGAAAGGAGTCTTAAAATATATATCATGTTGTGGATGGGTGAAGTGGAAATTGCCCTAGAAATTCTGTTTTATTACTATGATAACTATTTTGATCATTTCAAACGACTTTATTGTAGTTAAAGAGGTTGTTATTACTTCAGTGCTTTAAAGGTTTCTTGCAGTGACATCAGAATCTTTGCCAGAGAATATGAGGATTTGTGGCAGCTGATTCCAGACCCTCCGGTGAATTTACCTTTTCCTCAGGTGGGGGAGAAAGATACGGGTGTGTGTTAAAAATGGTATTTTTGAGTCACCCCTGGACAGCTGCAGTCTGTGGGAGCCAGTGTCTGGTGTGAGAATTTCATGTCTTGCCCTCCTTTTTTAGGAATAGTGGGAAAAACTTGAGCTGTGTGGACAGCACTGCTCTCTTCAGTGTTGTGGGAGACTTTGGGCTATTCCTTAAGTCCGTGGGAGCTGCTAAAAATTGCTGTTTTCCCAAAGGTCAGGTGCTGTTGGATTGGGTTTGACTTTGGTGTTGTGCGTGTGCGTATTAACAAAATGGTCACTTCTAATTGCGTTTTTAAGGCTTTGATTTCCTTCCAAGTATTTTGCTTAATCATCTTGAGTAGGCTGAGGGAAGGAAAGACTTAGCTGAGGTCAGGGAAGTTGAAGCTGCCCGTGTTAGTGCTGAGAAGCCAGGCTTAGTTGGAGGATTCCTGGAGGCAGGAGGAAGCGTGCCTCGTGTTTCTTCCTGCTGCACAATGGGACAGCAAGGGGAAAGCAGCCCTGAGAAAGCCAAGGAAAACAGGGAAAGGTTTGGTGCCGTGGCTCGTGGTGGCTGCCTCCCTCTGCACGAGTGGTCCGGATTCCCCTTTCTTTGGGAGACTCACACAGCTCAGATGTGAATCGTGGCTAAAATAGATCAGAGGGATCATAGTCTGGCAGTGGTGCTGATCTGCAGCAATTCACGAGAGCTCAGATGGAGACACAGGCACCAGAGGTGGGGGAGAGGATCCCCGTCATAATGACCTCTGGAATAAAGGGCAGTTTAATAATTTATCATGAATATTCATGTGGAGGGATGAGCAGCAGAAGATGAAGGTTGTATTGAACACTTCTTGTAAAAGTACCAGTCATTACAGTGATCAAAGGAAAAATCCAGCCACTGCCAGGGCTCAGCCAGTGTTCCCATATGTGTTCCCATTAAAGCCTAGACACCACGTCCCTCTGGACTTGTGAATACAGTGATTTGTTGGGTTTTTTTCCCAGAGGGGATGTTCCTGGCTCTGCCAGAGGCGTGGATGCAGAAGGATGCTTCCCTGTACAACCTGAGGGCTGTGAGAAAAGTCTCCTTGAGGTGTATCAATGTGACTTTACAAGCTATCTCAGGTGGAACACATTGTACTTCAGTAAGGTCTCAGGGATGGGAATTAATAGTAAATAAGCCCTATTGGAAGAAAAACAAAAAATAGTATCCTCCATCCCCTAATCTTTGCCCATTGAATTAAGCGTGTAGCTGATGCGCTTAGCTTTGCCCTTACGGTCCGGTCACCGAGCGCAGTCCGGCCGCGACGTCGCGAGTGCCGAAACCACTAATGATGGCATCAAGGGTTTAAGTGTAAAAGCTCCTTAGCAAGAGATGAGGGGTGCCACTCCAGATCCTTGTGGTCAGCTCCTAATGCCGCTCGGGGAGGAGAAAGCAGTGTGGCTCTTGAGTGGAAAATCACAGGCTTGGGAGGGAGGTGATGGCTTCGATGTGTTCTGTAGAGGAGGAAGAATTTATATGTGTTGGGACGTGCTCCAAGTTTTTTTAAATCTTGAAGGGAAGCTGAGTTTCCAAAAAGAGGAGCGAGAAGACTTGCACTGTGTAGATGCCACGTGAATAAAGTCTTTGCATGATTATTCATTAAGTGCCTAATATGAGAACAAAAATAGCTTTGGCATTAAGAAACAGGACTTGTCTGTGATCCCTCCTCGCAAGAGGCCCGTAACAAAGGTAGGAGACCTGTTCCTTTGTTTCCTGGTTGTTGTAGCCATGAGTGCACTCTGCTCTCTGGAGAAGTGAGACGTGGAACCTTTTAATTCCTTCTTGTTTGGGCTTCAGTGCTCAGTTGCTTTATTTAGGTCAAAGTGATGGTTTTGGCTAGAAGACACTTGGAAATCCAGGATGGCAAGAAAAGAACCTCTTGGAGAATCCTTTCTATGAGAGGGAAGTGGTTTTCAGGGCTGTATCCTCATTTCTTCCATGGTTGTGGGATGTTCTCTGCAGATATCCAGAAACCATTGGTTTTATATCTGGGCAAAAACATGAGAACCTTATCAAACAGTTTAAAAATCAAAAATAATTAAGACACACCTCCAGCAGATCCTGGCTCTAAGGGCATTCACGTATTTATTATCTTCAATGTGTTTGAGAGCAGAGAGCTTTTCTGGTGTGATAATGTGTGGAAGAAAGGCACTGTTCTCCTGAAAATGGATTCCCAAGAATGCCTGGCCCCAGGTCCCTGTGGACAAACGGTGCTGGGCTGGGTGAGATGCAGAGTGTCCTACTTACCGTGGCTGCTACAGGTCTGACCTCTTTGGATCATCTGACACCTCCTTGGGTAAGAGGTTGCTGCAAGATCTCAAACCCTCAAATTATGTAAGATTTACACTCTTGCTTTGAAGTTGGTCCCTCCCTTCTGTGTTTGTTTACTGGCTGGTGTGTCCTGTTGGATTGTGAAGGATGAACAGTCACAGAAAGGAAGCTGTCGGGTCAGTACAGATTTGCTGTTCCTCTTCATTTTCTGAACGCGCGCGGAGCCGTGCTTCTCCCTGTTCCCGAGTCCAGGAACGCGCCAAGGACGTCCTGCGCCGGTTGGGGCTGCGCTGGGTGAAATTTTCAGTTTGTTTGTTTGTTTTTGAGATGGAGAGAGGGAGGAAAGGCTCACTGCGTTGCTAGAGGAGAAACAGAGATGGTATCTTACAGCTGTCTCGGGACTTGATGTTGGGTTTGCTCTTTAATATGCAGTTTCCCTCAAACTCGGAGAAATCACGTGGATTAATTAATCCTGTACGTGTGGCTGCCATGGTTTGGGGGTTTGAAAGCACTGGCTCCTGTAAGGGAAGAGCAGAGGCTTTGCCTG